TTTTCATTCTCTAAATATTCAAATTTATATCAGTATTATGTCGTCAGCCATCTTGATTCTCAAGCAAAGAATTATGGGTAAAGTATGACATCATAGAATCTGTTGTCAAAAATTGAGAAAATTACTTTGTGCAGTGATGTCAACAATCTTCCAGGCAGAGTTCTATACTTTCGGTGATCTAACGGCAAGGAACTCTGGAAAGGAGAATGTGATGATAAGTAACGCATATCGAACTGTTCGGAGCTCGTTGATAGCTTCTGTAGCATGACAGGATGTTCTATACAATGCCTTTGAAGAACATTCCATGCAAACCGGACGTGAGAGCGACGGGTATTTCCGCCCTCGCTATCTCCGTGAACGTCTTGCCATCCAACACCAATAAATAAGACCACGTGTCTTCCTTTGCACTGACCATACACGCCATCACCACACCTGGAACATAAGTAGAACATGACGTTGCTTCGGTTGTAATAGAAGTGTTCGCGTAGTACCAAATCATCCCATACTTGATTTGATTGGTTAAGTATTACGTCTTGGTCAACTGGCATGGCATACTACGGCGTGATTGGACCAATGCCATTACCTGCCCAGACAACTGAATTTGTGCAATATCTACTGTTTTTTTCTCAGTCAGACAAGCCACATGTCGGTCGAAATAGCTCCACTGTCGTGAGAGTCAACTACTAGTACTCACAAATAAATAACACAATGTGTAGTAGGACAGAGGTGAAATAAACAACAGTTAGTTATACTTGAGGCGATAGTATTTTAACCCCAAAATAACAAATATTCGTCAAAATCAGAAGATACTGTCGATATCTAATCGAGTATAAATTTATCCAAACCGCTGTGGTCAACACATTCAACGTACAGACCAATTTGCGGGTTTCGTGTGAGCGTCGAATTACGTCATCAAATTTATAGACCGGTTCGGAATTCACAACGCATACATTCACCATCCTCTGCATAAAGTCAAGTGGATTTCAGGATTCAGCATTTTTTTGAAATCAAACATCGGACCAGTCATGCATTGGCTTGACATATAGCTGGAGGACTATTTAAATTACTAAGTATTGCAAGAATGACTTTATTAAGGAGAACGTGTTACCATGGAAACAAACATTGTTTTCCAATAGTACATTGTATTGGTGACATATAGCTGGAGGATTATTTAAATTAGTAACTTGAGTACGGCACGCCTGATTTATTATTAAAGAAGTATGTATTACCATGTGAACAACATTGTTTTCCAATAGTGCCTCAAAACAGTAGCCATTTTGTGACAGTTCAGGGGGGCAAGTTGACATAACATTCCATTGTCTTGATGTGGGTTTATTTTGTGAATGGTGGCATAACTTGACACTATCACCATATATGGTCATTATCTACTTACCGTCGTCCTCAGACGTGGCATTAGGTGCTTCCACAAACACCGGCTCTGCCGGGAAGTACGCATCATGGTTTACTAATTTATACGTCTTATTTTGTAGATCAACTTTCATGAGCTAAAAATACAGAAAATGTAGTAAATAATAAATACGCACAAATCAATGCGTGACGATTGTATAGTTTAATTCATCTCGCTAGAAAACACACACGCGCCTGTGCAGCGCCCTCAATCTTTCAAAATTGACTTACGTAGGATACTGTATTTTGTTATTATTATACAAAAAAAAAGAAACACTACACATATTCTGAAGCGCCTTGATTCGGATCGTTTTGGCTTTTCATTAGATGCGTACGTGTCATTTTGAATTTTCGGATGAGTTGTTACTGTCACTATGTATTAGTGTAAGTGCCGCAGTAGTCTTGTTCGGTCGTGTTCATTACGAGTCCCCGGTCATGTAACGCTTACCAAATCCTATCCAAATTTATATATTTGTTTAGTGATCTTCACGAGATAAAATATATAAATAGTTTGACAACCTGAACTCACAAATGGTGGCATAAATTCCATTTACATGACCCCATATTCTACACAATTTATGCATGAGTACTGAAACCAAAAATGAACGTCCTTAAATGTAAGCCGCGGAGTGATATGATAAGTCGGCGAATTACACCGCTGTTTACCAGTAAACGTGATTTGAGTCAAGAAATATCGTGTTGCATTTTGTTTCAAACGAGACAACGGAAGTCACTGATTCAGGTCTCTAACAAACAAATTCTAATTATATTAAGCTTGAGGAAAACTTTTTGTCAGTAACCCGATATTTGTGACAGAAATCAAGAACTAGTTCTACGTGAGCAGGTGCGTTACGTAGAAACAATTGGGATACTCCCTGTGCTAAGAGCAATGACGGATTATTTCTCGACATGACAAATTGAAAATGAAATCACCCGAGATTAACCTGCTATATATGGCACCGGTTGAGCTCAATGGATTCTCGAGCAAATATCGCTTTTTCTCATGTCTCGACACAAACTAAACATGATTTTATAGATATTACAACAAATTGATTCAGCTCAAAAATGAAAAGATGTGTCATATACTCCGGAGAACGGAAATATAAAACTTAGAGGTAACAAAACGTTCACGGTTGGAATTTCCGGAAATAAAATTGCGACAAATCTGGATAACGATCATTACTCAACGCAACATGAATGTTTAAATATGCAAATGAAGATATCAACAGTGATACTGATAAAATAAGTAATTTCCAAAAAATCACAATAATTCCTCGCTCCGTGGAACCATAATCAATTTATGCGTATTGAATTATGATATATTAATATCGCCACCAACGGCACGTTTTACTCACTTCAGTGGCGGAGTCGCTTACTCCATAGACGTATCTATATTTCCGTCCATTGTACCTTTCGTAATTAGTAATCGGAAGTTCCATACCTATAAAACATAAAAAAACTGAATACTAATGATGAATGTATTTGGAAGTTTTAACCGCTTAATATATCGCCCTCTCATGTCTAGCTTATGTATGTGAATTAGTTTTCTTTAAATACATTACACGGCATTCAACTAAGGGTTCATAAAACATAGTGTAACTATTGCAACCTTGTCCCTCCAGAATCTTAGATATCAAATAACCATGCAGGATGAATACAAACAAGACTGGTTGTTACGTGGTGATTATTCGACTCTATGAAGATATAAATGCCGGGGTATGTACGCGGTTTCACGGTTTTTAGTATGACAATATAACATTGTACATGTATACCACTATTTATACACGCACTACACTAACTGTAGAATACTTTATTTTCGCTTGGAACCGGCTAATTTTCGCTATTTTCTCTGAAGGAATAATTCAGTGAAAATAAAATCCAGCGAATATACTTATTTTCCTATATTTTACATTCAACTCGTCAAAAATAGGTGAAAATAAATTCCATAAAAAACATCCAAAAAGTATTTTCAGCGAAAATTAATTCCAGTTAAAATAAAGTATTTTTCTCAATGTCCCTTGTCATAGTATGGATTGTATAAGGCCCATGATATTACAGGAACATATCAAAACAAAATATGTATACTACATAATGAAAACAAAATTATCCGGGTACGGCACTACCCTAAGTGATAACATATTAACATATCTTGGAGGGTATATTACTAACATATGGTTCTCATAATCAGCAAAATATCTTCACTCTCTGCCTTTATTTCTATGTCTGACATTTGTTTTTCTATTTTAACCGGTAAATTATCACTATATCTCGCATAAATATATATAAATATATGTATAAATGCCAATCACAACAAAATCAGGCAGTATTTCATTCTAATTAATATAATATTGATGTTTGAAAAGATGAACTGATAAGAATTGTTTGAGTTTATTATGACGACGAGTACAGACATATACTCTTCCCCTTCACCTAATGACACGGGTAAGGTAAACACGTAGAAGTGTTTCTCCTTGTATTTCGTTGACATGTTCTTGCACTATTACGACCGGATAGATGTTTATTACCTTCATGCTAGTTCATAAACATTAGATATTATTATGTTTTCTGAAAACAAATAAGTCGTCATGACAACTCACCTTTCTCAATCATCTTCTCGTACGTGACGTACACGTCGTTTCCATCGTCTCTCTTCGTCGCGCAACAAGACGTGTAGTCTAAGGTGATTAAATTTGTACCCGTTGATGATTTCTGTAGACGAGACAGAATGACTTTATTTGTTTTGATTTCATAATACCATTTTTTATTCTACATTTCAAAACAAGGTTTACAATAGTAGACTCGAACCCCGAGTCATTCTAAAGTACGAACGATATCGTCATAATCAATACGTCCACTCAACTTACTCGAAGTAATATCGACATGATAGATCACTTTAAGTAGGCCCTGAAGTCACTGTCGATCGTACTTTAGAATGTGGAAAAATGACGTGTGTGAAAGCGTAATGGGGATTGCTTTCCATTTATCTCCTTGAACGGTCAATCTCATCATGTAATTACTATTATTTTTAAGCATCACATATTTTTTTCCGGACAACGTAATTCTAGTATACATGCATAATTTTACATACAGGCTGATGTATATGCTGATGATCGGAATGACGTACGTAGCCGAGACAGCGACTGGACGTCAAGTGGATACGAAAACCATAACAGCATATAGAACAAAAATGTAATTTTACGGCATGCATTCAACAAGCTTTTATTTGTAAGGAAAAATCAGCAAATATTGTATTGTATTGTATTGTATTGTATTGTATTGTATTAGCTCACGACACAAACGCACACTGGCAACTCTTGATTTGTCTAATGAGTAACTAGTTTGAGTAGAGGAGTACCAGGGGTGCATACCTACACACGTTTGCGGCGTTACCCCCCCCCCGTCCCGACGCTATATTTTAATACACACCGTATTGACATTGAGCGGAAACACATATCTTCTTAATTCGATATTAGCAGGATCAGTATTATTAGCTTCTATGCTGTTACGTGACATCTTATTTACTATATCCATGTCTCTGTGACAGCAGAGGTCAACGACTACGTGATCGCCATCCTCAAACGCGTTGACGTGATGGAACGAGAAGAACGGTTCGGCGACGTATTTTGACGCCACCAATTCGCCGGTATCGTGTCTGATTAAATAGAATATAGAGCTGATGTTATCGTCATACTCCAGTGCTCCGCTCAGAGGTGTGGACGTGAATCTGCCCGTCATCAGCTTTGCGACGTTCGTCATCAGCGGCTGCTCCAAGAACACAACGTAGTTCTCTGTGATGGACAAACTGTGGTAATACCCCGGATGCAGTCGATAACGTGCCGGAATGGAACAAATTATTTGAGTGTTTTCGAATGGATCGTTTCCTGTGACATGTAGGAAGCAATACAATACATTAGTAGTGTGTTATTTTGTGGAAACGTCCGAGATATCGCGTCGTGTTTACCAATGATTTTGGCATTTCTACGAGACGCGAAATACTAAGATCAGAGAAAATCGATGAGATATCACAGGCCTTACGTGTAATATTTAAAACAAAATCCGATGTTGAGGCCAATATTCGGATTTAATGGCTCGAATGGGAAATTACTGCCCTGGCGCAGGTAGATAATTATTGTGGTGGCCATTAAAACTGTTTATTGACTGATATAATGAATAAATCAACAACATTTTCACAACATAATCAAACTTTGAAGTCTGTCACAGACGCCATTTTTTTGTAAACATCAAAGCCAGCACAAAAAAACTAAATCATGGTTACTCTATGTTCAATATTGACTCAGAGTCATTTTTCTATTAATTGACACAACACTGACTTTGGAAAGTACAGCAGCAAGGTCACTTAAAACTACAAGGTATAATAATAAAAAAATATTAATGAAACATCAATCCAAACAACATAATGACCCCCTAAAGAAAAAGTTCCACAAATGTAGGAGAATGCAATTTACAGTTTTTTTATATCACTTTTCATTCTCTAGATATTCAACTTTATATCAGTATTTTGTAGTCAGCCATCTTGATTCTCAAGCAAAGAGTCATGGGTAAAGTATGACATCATAGAATCTGTTGTCAGAAATTGGGAAAATTATTGCATCTATAAATTCAAAAGTTGATCAAATCAAATCCTGTCTGTTTAATGGCCGGAGACAACTTCGGAACAATGAAAATCGCCCAATCACACTTGGAACGTTAAACTTTTATTTTAGAACCACATCCATCTACCCTATTCATTGCATTGTTCGAAAGAAAAACAAAAAAACTTGAGATAATTTCTAGTTTGCATATCCACCGATTAAATATAAATTAGCTTGTCTATTATAACAAGTGAACTAGCCGACAAACGGAAAGACTGACTCACCGCCTTCTGATGGACTAATTTTAATAACGTTATACGTAGGCGCAGGACCGTAATGATTGCCGACGTTCAACAGTGTGCCATCCTTCAATGTATGCGGATGTGAAGACATGGTGTGTATTGATATCTTCTTGGCCAAGTCGTGCTACAAAAAATATAAAAAGGATTTCTGTTCATTGTCCGAATTGCTAACATGCGGAAGTATATGACATATTGAGTAGAATACATAATTTGAGAATGTACAATTTTCTAGTAGCTTGCGTTTGAAACAAACTACTTCTACACCTTCATTAAAATGCAGTTTAAGTATTTCGAAATCAAATTGCATGCTGATAAAAACGATAGATTTGATTTATCCTAAATAAAAAAAAAAAAAAAAAAACAACAACAAGAACAACAAAAAACACACAAAAATAACACTAACGTTTTTTGTAGCAAACATGAAAATGTTCGTTCGAAGAAATCTTGAGAACGCAAAATGCACACACGTCTTGGATTTCGTACAAGTAAGCGTTTTCATTATTTCAAAATCTGTTTGCTCAAAAACTAGCGTTATTAATTCACTAAGATGAAATAAAGAAACTATGAAAATACGGTCATTTCAGCTTACATACTATCCCGAAGCTGAACCGCCATGGATACCCGGAAAATATCGATTTACTCCTTTTCCCCAATGTATTTCAATGGAAACTACAATGTATTGACCTTTTTTGTTGCCACCAAAGTATGGGGGTCCACCTGCCACACAAATGGCGTCTCCGTGCACACACAGAACTTTTCGCTAATCTTGAACCAACTTATATTGCAGTTATCCTCCGGCACCGGTGGCCATACATACGACAACATCTTCTCCACAAAATTCGCAGCTGGATCCGGATTCGACAATGTACCGAATTCGGACACAACGATACGGTTGGCCGCCTTGTTCTTTCGGTAAGTGTCGCTAGTAAGGAATCTGTTTTGATATGTCACTTTGCCGTCTTTGACAGTAAACTTATGTAGCAAAGCCATTCCATCGAATAAATGGTTGAATGAATCTTCCCCGATTTCAAACAGTCCTGGCCCATTCCGTAAGAAACTTCCATTTAGCCATTCCGGAATTGTTCCTGATTAGATGAAAATATAGTTATAATAAATTATAAAACTTATTATTAAAATACACACACATATAGAAAGATAGTTATTTGGGATCTTCGGATTGTGCTCTATTATGTTATATACCTTTGTGAGAAAAATGTTTTGTTTTGTTTTTCTATGAAAAAATGTATGTTTTTCTCCTCTCAAAACAAATGCACAGGTTTTTGTTCACTTTAATAAGTACTGCATGATTATCATGATTATCAAACATAACTAAAACAAGCTCAAGTAGATGTGAAGGGGAAGATTAAGGCAGTAAGTAGAGATTTTGTTTCTTCAAATCTAGATGAATTCATATATCGCTAATTTAATTAATCCGAATATTTCCTAAGGATCCTACTCAAATGGGTGTTTGAAATATTAAACAAATGAGCACCGCTAGGTTTTTGCATAATGTTTGCCTATATAAGAGTATTTATGAGTGTTTATTGCGTCTAGTGGGCTGGGATACACTTGAACTACAACATATTCGTAAATAGTCACATGGGCTCAACCCTGCCAAAAGAGTATAAACATTGATAGAAAGAACCGCACACGAAACGCATTAATATTGTTAAAAACATATGTAAACAATATTCGCAAATTATTTCCTTTCAGTGCTGGAAATCAAATGAAAACAAGGACGTTAAGGTGACGATGTTTGTATTTGCAGTCAATTCCCTTTGACCCACTTGTCAAGGTACGGTCATGCGCACTGTGGAAATATTAATAACCTTGATTTTCTAATGCTAAGTTCATCTCTATTTTTTTCACTCATAATTATTATTACAATCCTTAAATTGCTATATATTGACATTTGTGCGAATCCACTGACGTAGGTAAATCAGTACGCATGCGCATTTGCTATGCTACTCTATTTACTGACAAAACGACGTTTAAATAAAATATTAATCAGTCATATTAATAATAAATGACCAAAATACCCATAGCTATCCATGTCTCATCTTTACACTTTTGGAACTGATATAAACCAACAATAACAATTTGTTCAACCATTTGTGATAGTCAGTAACGATAGAAACGCTACTATAAGTACTTAGTGGTAGCCACGCGGTATTTTGCATTTATACATTGTTTTGTTTTTTATCTTGTAAAATCAAAGCATTTTATACCCTTGGCTCACCTAGTCGCGTCCCTTTTATCTCTTTGTTTAGTTTCCGATGTTGATAAGAACGTGATAAATGGACGAGATACGACTTTTGTGTGTGCTATTAAGATTTAGAAATTAGTTCAGGTCTCGTCTGGTCAATGGACTGCCCCACTCCATGTGTACTCGTAGGTTACAAACAAGATGGGGCGTCGTACGTGTTGTTATGTGGTTGTTGTATCCTATGCAAAATGCCTGTCACAATACATGGTTGATAAATCCCGTTCTTATAATTCGGCGTGTGGTACAATCACAGTTGTTTCAAAGACGAAAATACACGTATTTAGATCTTCATGTGCTAAAGTACATTTATTGTGTGTCTTCTCTAACTAGAGATATTCTACTCTAAATCTTTTGCATTCAGTAATTTAACGTTTTCATTACATTGTTTTTTCTCAGTATCAAAGAAAAACAAAGCGAATATCATGACCAAATCTTCTATCTGTATATAAAAAACTGCCCATGGTAACTAATAAATGGTAATTATTTGTTCTACGCAACAACCACTGGTTTTGAAATTGAAGAAATCGCAGTTTATTAAATTGAAAATTGTCTTTAATCAACTTGACAACAGTACGATTGCTTGACACCTATCTATTTGAATGACCCCGTGCTTCACGGGGTAGGGGAGAATGTAAAACAATCTAATTGACTTACATACATGTCGTGAATTCAATGTGACACAAAGTTGATTACACAGTGTTGCTGCTAATCTAATTTAATGTTAGGTAAAATAAATTAAAAAAACATACCCTTCACTTTAGCAACAACCGTATAGACCTAGCTCGAGCCATTCCATTAGAGCGCGTCCGTTCCATTAGAGAGCATTCCATTAGAGAGCGGTCACGTGACGTGTGATCACCTGACAAATGCTGGATACACGCTCTAACGGCAAATACCGTTAGGTTTAGCGAATTTACGAACCGTTACGAAAGAGTTTGCTCGTTCAAAGGCCGTTTTTGTAAAAGCGACAGCCTTGATCGATACACTGTTCATTTACACAATCTTTCCTGGCACCATACGCACTCACACTGTTAGCGGCGGAGTGAAACACGCCCATGTCATGCCATTAACCGATTACTGACGTCTATGTATTTCAACGCGCCCATGTCATGCCATTAACCGATTACTGACGTCTATGTATTTCATGTCTTTGGCATGAAAGCTATAAAATATATGAAATACAAGGCCTTGCTATCGTTTGAACATTTCAAATATTTAATTAGTCTAGCGTTTTTTTTTTTTTCATTCCATTGGGGACGAGTCGCTCTTCATTCCATTACAGGACGGTATGACCCAAACCACCCTCTAACGTCGCTCTATTTACTTGATT